ATTTTTTTTTAGATTTTTTGTTATAAACTGTATGTACCCTTACTATGATTCTTAGAAAAAATCTTAAAAAAAGAGCACATAAATAAATTTATGTACATACGAGGTGTGTTCAGAAAATAACGGGAATTGTTAAATTTCGCGGGTTCGGAGGGTCCGGTTGTCATAAAATTTTCTTTAGTATGTTGGTATACATGTATGATAAAAACTTTAGCTGTTTTCATTGTTTACTTTGTCTATGGCAGCCGCTAAGGTTAGACGTGTTTTATGAGCTCGGCGATTTTTCGTTCGTTAAAATGGATCAAAGAATTTGTATCCAATTTTGCTTAAAAAATTAAATAAATTCTGTGAAATGTTATCAAAGGCCTATATTGAGTCTGCTATAAGTAAAACAAGAGTTTACAAGTGGTATAAGATGGCCGTGAAGACGTTGAAGATGACGAACGCCCCGAACGCACAAGCACATTAACAACCGAAAGTATGATAAAAACTTTAAATGTTATCAAAGGCCTATATTGAGTCTGCTATAAGTAAAACAAGAGTTTACAAGTGGTATAAGATGGCCGTGAAGACGTTGAAGATGACGAACGCCCCGAACGCCCCGAAGCACATTAACAACCGATAAAAACATGGAAAAAGTGGAAGAAATGGTTATAAACCATCAGAGAAGTCGCTGATGATGTTGGTATATCGATTGGCTCATCCCATGAAATTTTTTCGAATGTTTTGGGTATGAAACGCGTGGCAGCAAAATTTGTTCTAAAATTGTTAAATTTTGAACAACATTTTTGGCCAAAAACAATACTGTAATGATGCCCCAGCCTCCGTATTCGCCAGACATGCTTCTGTCTGACTTTTTCCTATTCCCAAAAATAAAGAGAACCTTAAAGGGCCGTCGTTTTGCAAGCCTAGATGACATTAAAAGCGCATCGCTGAAAGAACTAAAGGCTATCCCAAAGATCGAGTTTTAGAAGTGTTTCGAGTATTGGAAGAAGAGCTGGAACATGTGCATAATATCAAATGGGGACTATTTTGACGGCGACAACATTAATGTAGACGAATAAATAAATATTTGTTTCAAAAAACGAAAATTCCCAATATTTTCTGAACACACCTCGTACATACTTTAGAGTCGGTGATGTTTGAATAATCTTTAAAAATAAGCAGGGTTGAAAAAAAAACGGGTTTTTTCTATATTAAACCCAACCCACTGGGCTTTTTCTGTTTTTTTTAAGTGGGTTTTAATGTTTTTATTTTGGTTTTTTAATTTAATACATTTTTAATTAAAAAAACAATATTTAAAAAGGAATACTGTTAATAGGAAAAATTCAAGTATTTTCACAGTGAAATCTGTGTACAAAAAGAAGGTAGCGAAAATTTCACTACTAGTTTGACCAGCGGATGTTCTTAACGAGTGTACTGCTTTTAATTAAAGACTTTAAAGAGTTTTTTTACGTAATATATTATATAAGAATGTATTGTATCATGTTTTCTTTTTAACAAAATACTAAAATAGAAAACGAAAAAAGGCCACACGAAAATTTGAAAATGTCTCTAATAATAAGTTTTCAATAAAAACAAGAAAAAAATTAAATAATATTTAAAATTATAGAAATTGTTAAATATCTCTTAAATTATTAACTTTTAGTATATTTACATCAATCGAAACGATTTTTAATTTACCATTTGATTATTTAAAAACATACCGGGTGTTACTTTTAAAATATAAAAGTTATAACTTTTCAAGATAGCCTAATTTGCACTGGGTTTCCTTAGGTAATATATTAAAAAATGTTAAAGAATTGACATAAAATCTTTTAAACATTGTGTTTTAAGATTCCAAAAATTCCACTCCCATACTCGTAAACCTAATAACAAAAAAGTTATAGGCTATGTTTTATATGTATAGGTATAGTAATTTTACTTAGAATTTTATGTAGAATTTGAAAATGTAAAATATATAGGGGTGTTCTATTTGAAATAACAAAGTTGATGTTACTTCCGGTTAAACCGGAACTAGCATTTTGACAAATCAAAAGGGGTTGGGGTCAAAAGTGGGCAATTTCGTATGAAATGTAATGTAATGTAATTAATGTAATATATTAAATATATTAAAATACTGAATACATTTTGACATAAGGTGTAACAGAAAAATATTTTTAAAAAAAATATGCATTACAAGTTTTTTATATTTTTGTGTGATACGCCACATAGATACCAACCAACAAAGTAGCTGCGCGTTGCCAGTTGTAAAAAATTGTTACTAAAAATTTTTCTTGCAAAAAATAAATATTAGTTTAAGCAATGATTAGAAAAATCAGTACCTATTTTAAAAACTCCATAACCATAAAATTATTTTTTTATCGGTTTTTTTCTTTCTGTTTACTCAGATGAAATTAGGACAAGTTTAGAGGTTAAACTTTAAACAATTAATTTGTGTAAATAAATCCAAAAGCACTTCCCTTAGTTTATATATTTACAAATTGAGCACACAACCTAAAATTTTAAAGAAATGCACTAGATTCTGTCATAAAAGTTGCCAGATTTTGTTTGAATTTACCTTCATTACAAAAATGACATAATAAACAATTAATAAAAACTTCAAATTAACAATTTGCATTGTTGATTTTGTTATTTTTGTAATTAAGCTAAATTTAAACAAAATTTGGCAACTTTTTTGACAGAATCTGGAAACGCTGGTTGTTACCAACCATAACATAATAAATTAAATTAGGCAACCAGATTAGCCTAAAGTTCCTAGTCGATTAGTGGCGTACTTTTTGGAAGGATAAAGGTTATTATAAATTATTTTTAGTCTTAAGAATTTAGAAAAAAAAAGTTTCAGGTGCTTCTTTATGGACCCTAAGGAACTACCCATTTTAATATTTTACATTAATTACATAACACCCTGTATAATATATTATATTATAAATTTTCAATAAACTGTAAATTTTTTAAAGAAATCAAAATCAAAATATATTAATTAATATTAAATATTTTATAAAATAAACTATTTAGTAGTTTCTAGAATTACTATAATTAAAGCACAATTTACGAAAAACAAACCACAAACCAATCAACAAAATGACTTTTCAAATCGAATTTAAAAATTCTGGCAATCTTTTACTAATATTTACAATATAAAATTGAATTCTCATATTTATTTACGATTGCCTGTTTTTTATTTATTTATAATATATAGATTGGTACCTACAATTCATTGATTAAATATACATACACATTTGTTTGCGACTCACCCCTGTAAAATCTTTATTTATTACACAGTACGACAAAATTTGATTTTTTTCCCTCCCATGAAAAATTTCTATAGATTTTGAAAATAGACTTAAAAAAATGATACCCGTGTCTCAGCGATTTTTTCAGATCACGTCATTTTTTTGTGCCATCCAATAAAATGTTACCCACGGTATTCGGCACATAATAAAACAGCTTCGATAACAGCTTTATTCACTGAATAAATGGACAACCATTAAAATTATTTATTTATTTTAAAATTATTTTAATTATATACAGGGTGTTTACGAAATACGGGTGTTTCACGTTCGTGGTTCATTGAGAGTTTCTGAGGAACGGCAAAAGATATCGATTTGAAATTTTTAAAGCGTTGATAATCCAATTAAGCCTATTTTTCTAAAATATTTTAAACAAAATGCCACTTCCGGCTTGACCGAAGTGACATCAACTTTGTTATTTTAAATGGAACACCCCATATATTTTTACATTTTTAAATTCTAAATAAAATTTTGAGTAAAATTACTATACCATGTCCTATACCTAAAGTGAATAGTTTTTTAGATGTTTGTTATTAGGTTTACGGATATGGGGGTAAAATGTTTGAATTCTTAAACCATTGTTTAAAAAATTCCATGTCAATTCTTTAACATTTTTCAACAAATTACCCGAGAAACCCCAGGGCAAATTGGGCTAACTTGAAACGTTATTAACTTTTTTATTTTAAATGTAACACCGGGTATGTTAAGAAATTGACATGGAAACTTTTAAATAATGTTTTAAGATTCAAAAAATTCCACCTCCATTTCTGCACCCAATAGCAAGAAAGTTATAGGCTATTTTTGATTGACGCGCATTTGTCATATTTTAAAATTAATAACTCCAAGAATTTTATGTAGATTTAAAAAATGTAAAAATATATGGGGTGTTCTATTTGAAATAACAAAGTCACATCAGTCATTTCCGATCAAACCGGAAGTTGCATTTTGTTCAAAATTTAAAAAAAAATAGACTTAATGGATAATAAATTTCGAATCTATATTTTTTCCGTTCTCCAGAAACTGGACCATGAATGTGAAACACCCTGTATATCAAGTGGTGTTTTTAGGTTGTGATACCACTATAAATTTGAAAGCAATGTATAATCGTCAAACTAAAATATCAAGATTTGTTTTCAACATATATTTATTAATATAAAATAAATACAAATTTGTTTTATTAAAAAAATCAATAATTAAAACCAGAAATATTTTTTTACTTTAAAAAAATTAAATTGTTATTTTCTTTAAGTATAATTTTTGTATTATGTAAAAACATAAAATATTTGAAAAAAAAATGATTTATAACAAAATAGAGAATTAAAAATCTGTTTAGGTTAAAATAATAAGAATGGCTGTGTAAAAAAATTAAATGACGTGATTTCGTGAACCGGTGAGACACGGGTACGTTTTTTAACCTTTATTTTTAAAATCTGTTAAAATTTTTCATGGGAGAATTTTTACAAAATACAAGGCCTATAGTATACTACCTCAGTTTTTGAAAAAAATCGTAGTACCCAGTACTTTATTTACTTATTTACAATGTATTATATTTTTATGTAGTTATTTTACAATGTGCCTTGATTTATCAAATTAAACCCCTTTAAATTTTCTAAAACTATTTATAATACGCAGTGTATTTACAAATTCCCGCAGATCATTATATTTTGCAACATCATTGTGAACAGTCGTTTTAAAGTTGATAAGAAGAAGCAGCAGTTTTGATTGCAGTTCGAAGCGGGCTTTTTGCAAAATAGACAGCTTCCCCGGAAAAAATATCCGTAAAAAGTTGTCCGTATAAAATGGAGACGCGGTTCAAATAATCGGTTCAGTACGCGAATTTACTCGACAGTGCAACAGTGTATTGGCTAACAAAGCTTAGCAAACGCAAAATACAACTTTATCTGCAGTTTAAATTATTCTCTAGTAGGTACGCAACGTGTTACGTATTTGAAATTTTACTAAAAGTAAGTAGATAAACATTTTTTTTAATTTTTAAATTACATTTAAAATTTTAAAACACTAATTAAAACTATTAAATTCAACTGCAGGGTTATTTATGTACCAAGGGTTAAAGTAGATGTTTATGGCCTGCCCTTTTAGCAAAATTTGATTTTAAGAGAAGAAGAATCTTCTAAGAAAATATGACCCGGAATAACGGAATATTCTTAGAACCTTCCCTTATTGCTAAGAATGTTCTTAGGGGCTTTTAAAACATTCAATAGATACCCTTTTAATGATGCAATTAGATTCTTAAAAGCTTCTTAAAACCCTCCTAAAAAAGCACCCAAAGAACATTTTAAGAATATGTTTTTGGAATGTTCTTAGAAGGTTTCTTCTGTATTCTACATTCGTAAAATTCTTCAGGAGACGACAAATACGCCTCACTGTCATAATATGACAATGAAATGTATTCGCGTTCCCTTAAAAAATTTTGCGACATATTAATATATATTTATTTAAAAATATTAAATAAACAATTTGACCTCGAAACCATAAGTTGTATGACATTATTTCATAAAAAGTAAAATTGGAAAATTTTGTGGATAAGTCAGATTAAATTGAAGTTGAAGATAGTTAGGATACATAAAAATGTTAATTCAAAAATATAAAATCGGTATAAAAATTAATAAATATTTATTTTTAACATAAAATAAAATACCTATAGTAAAAGTTTTTTGGTTATCGAATATTGTTGTGTGGATTGTGGTTTTAATTTCACAAATACCTATACAAAAAATATTTTGGAATGTGTTTTTTACTTAGTATTTAATACTAATTACTAATTAGATACTTACTATGCACTTTATGCCCGCCCTATTATGTAGTTGATATTACATTAAAGTTTTTTATTAAAAAGAAAATTTGCATCGAGGTTATTTTTTTAACGAAACACTCGGTATATTTTTAGAAATGTAGTTTTTATATACATTTTTAGTTTTTATGTCGATACTTTTTTTTCTTTTGCAAACCATGATATGAGCAAAATTTATTTCTTTTAATAAGGATTTAAAGTAGTGTTGCAACGGTTACGGTTACGGTTACGGTTAATTCACGGTTTTCGATATTATACGGTTAACCGTAACCGTATGTCGTTAACCGTAACCGTATTTACGGTTTTTCATGCTACTTTGTGAATGCATGTAAAAAAAAAATTGAAGAGTAATTAACGTTACCAAATATACCACCTAAGTCAAATCCGTTTACATTCTGGAAAACGTGTTACACGTTTCGGCGTTTAAGAGTGTTGGCACTAAGGTATTATACAAACCATTGTCAGTGAATTCGGAGAGGTTGTTTTCGACTGCAGGTCTTGTGCAAACACCAAATAGGAACAGGCTGATTCCGCAGAATTTGCAGATGTTATGTTTTTTAAATAAAAATTTGACTCGTAAATTTTGAATATTATAATATTATGTTATAACATTTAATTTTTTTATATTTTTAAATATTTTATTCAGGTACCTACTTAGGTTTTACTTTACTGTTTTTAGGTTTAAAATGTAACTCATTTCCTATTGTTTTACAGTTTTATTAGAAATTCTGTTTTTGTTTTACATAAATTATTATTTAACCTTTACTGAACGTGTGTATTAATTTCAAAACTTTATTTTTCGTAATTCTGTAAATTTTTTTTAAATAACCGTGAATTTATTCGTAACCGTATAGCTAACCGTAACCGTAACCGTAACCGTAAAACCCGAAACCGTTGCATCACTAATTTAAAGGGGTGTCCCATTTATACCAAAACACCCTGTAATTACATGGTAGTTTCATATGTACCCTGATAAATTCTTTACTGAAAAAAATATAAAAAAATTCACCTTGTATTGTTTAAAAAAGTAATCTTTATGAGAAAACCTTAAAAAACAAAGTTATAAAAATATCTTCTGATTAAAATGAAGAAAACTGAAAAACAATTGATTCGAAATATTCAAAAATATATATTTTTTTATAAAATTATATATTATTATTGCATAATTACCCTAAATTTAAAAATAAACAATGAATAAGCACATTCTGATTGTTGTTAAAATAAAATATTTGGTTATTTTTATCAGATAGTGCTTATTATTGTTTATTTTTAAGTTTAGGATAATTATGCAATAATATTTTTTTTTCAAATTAATTTTTATTAATATTTAAAAATATACAGGGTGTTCCTTGAAAAAAAATGTTATTTTTGTTAATATTTCGGACGTTCAATTGTTTTTTTTGTTTTCACAGTTTTCATTTTTTTAAACTATACAAGCTGCTATTTTAAATTTCTTGAAATAAAAACTTTATAGAGGTGTGCTACCTACATAAAATTATTTAATAAATCCACCTTGAGCAAATACATCTTTTAAATTTTTTTTTATTAAAAATTTTGACAAAAAAAATACAATTTATGTTTGTATTTTGTAATAATTTGTAATTATGTAATAATTTCATTAAAATTTAATAAAAACATAAAATTACGAATGATTTGATTGCAACGTTGTTTTGAAAAAAACATAAACAATTCCATAAAATGTTTTGCAATGTTGTAACATATTTCACTTTTTGGCCACATTATCAACGAGAACCAAAAATTATCTGAATTTCAAAAAAAATTGACCTTAATGACGCTCAGTTAAAATTTTTAAGATAATATAGTGTAAATTATGTAAAATATCTTTGGCTATTTAAATTTATTTTAGTTCATTTTTAAATAGTTTATAAAAGTTTAAAAAAAAATCCAAAAAAATCAAGTAAACCGGAAAACCTGTATATTATTATATTATATTCCGACAATACATAGGAATATTGATTTAAAATTTCATCAAAATCCATTCAAAAATAACATTGACAAATAACGCTCCACCCTGTATACTATTGATTTTTGACCTAACTCGTTGAGCATTCGTTTATTTTTGCCATTCACAATCACCTTACTTCGGCAGTTAACAAAATAATCAAGCAAGCGACCCAAAACCAATAACACGACCTGTCAAATAAATGCGATTTGTTTTTGTTTATTTCCCAGCCAATCGACGCACGTTGTCGGTATCGCAGCCTCCCGATACTTTTGTGAATTGTGAAATTCCCTCCATTTTCATTCAAGTAACGCGAATCGAGTGCTCCTTGGATGTTCACGTGAACACCGACAGCGTTGTCAGATTTACGAAAAAGAGCGGAAGTCGGGGATTTGTTATACGAGCAGCGGAATATGAAAAACGTAAAAAATGATACAAACTATTTGAGGTTTTCTTCAGTTGTATAGAGATTTTTGTTTTTTTTCTTTTGTTTTTTTCTAAACAAATAAATTCATACATTTTTATATAAAATACAATAATTTTATAAAATCCTAATTTCATTATTTTTATGTTTTAAGGCTATTAAGATTTTTTCTACTCCCACCTTTAAAACGCCCATTATCGTACATGTTTTACAAGAACAAGCTGTGACTTTATGGCGCTTTAGTCACGGGCTAAAGTTGGCAACAGGTTTTTAGTCACGGGCTGAAGTTAGTTGACAGTTGTCAAATGTCATACAATCGATAAAATAAAGTGTCTTACTTGTAAAATAATACTTAATGTGAAAATTATTATTGCAGTTAACTAGATTTAACTGATATAGCGTTAAAAAATTTACAGTGCGCATTAAAAATTCTCTTCTCTTTTACTGTGAAACACTGCTTCTATATCGATTGTTAGTGTATTTTCAAGGGATAAATTTTGATTTACACACAAAAATTTGAGATTTTAACGCCGGTAGATTCGCAAGAAAAATTCTAAGGGGAATTCCAATAAATACACTTTTTGTACCTTTAACATTTCCCATGTGAGAATTTTTAATATAGTGTGGTAATATATTGCAATTATAGTAATACAAAAAATTAAAGGATAACATATTTTTTTAACATTATTTTTTTTTAAGTTATTTTAATATTTTTAAGTACCTATCAATAATTGTTAGGTTTAATTAAAATTTTCTGATACAAACTTAAATACTTATGTACATTTGTCAACTATGTCTACCCCAGCTGCCTAATTTGGAAAGTTACCTTAACTCGAAAACTATTTATAGAAATAGTACATTATAGACTATTTACTGTACTATTATGTAGGTTAGACTGGGCCAAAAAAATCAACTATTTTTTTTCGAAAATATGGTTTGGGGTGACAAAAAAAAATTATTGTGAAAGTTTGAGTCCGTAATAGGTATTAATATTAAGAGGTCTATCATCGCAATTTTAATTTTTTTTTCCTCAGCAAGTTTTTGCCTATTAATATTAAGAGGTCTATCATCGCAATTTTAATTTTTTTTTTCCTCAGCAAGTTTTTGCCTCAGAACTCCCAAACCATTGAGTTTAAGAAAATTGACTCAAAGATATTTTTTTAAGAAAATTAAATTCTCTACAAAAAAGGTTAAAGTGAAATTTTCCGTCAGATGAACCATTTCCTTAAAATCATGCCTTAAATATTGGTATAGTAACTATCAAGTCAAATTTGTTAAACTCAATGGTTTGGGAGTTCTGAGACAAAAACTCGATCAGGAAAAAAATCTAAAATTGCGATGATAGACCTCTTAATATTAATATTATGGACTCAAACTGTCACCATAATTTTTTTTTGTCACCCCAAACAATATTTTCGATATACTTTACAAAAAAAAATATTTTTTGGCCCAGTCTGTAGGTACTGTAGTTTAATACTTACCTAGGTACTTAAAATTCTAAAGACACAATCAAAATTCAAAGGTTTAAATTTTTCTTTTTTAACATTTTAAGTCCAATTTTTTTTTAAATTTTCTTAAAAAAAAAACATTTGTAAAAATCAAAAATTTATAATTACAAAAAAAGCTGACATAAAAATTAAGGTTGGGTTTATTTTGACAGTTGAAAAAACTTAATGATAATCATTCCCTAGAAAAACACAAAACACGTTAATAAAACACCCTACCTTAATAGCTACCTACCTGCCATAATCCTTCAAAGCAAAAATCCCGACAACATAAATAGTAATAATCAGAGACTCTGGTAATAATACTGAGAACTTCATTTTATTTTCAGGTATTCGAAGGGAGAACAGGCGGCAACGCAGCGACCCGAGGTTATAAAATAAAAACGAAGTCTGTTCGTCGGTCTCTTTTCCACAGTAACTAAACGAGGTACGAACTCGAAAATAGTGTTGTTGAGTGCTCATAGTACGACAAGGTTCAAAATGCCAGAAACTTTGACAAATGGATACACCAACGGGCACATGCCGTACGACATGGAAAACGGAAGTGACTTCCTCTTCACATCGGAATCAGTGGGAGAAGGACACCCCGGTTAGTACGAATATAATTTTATTAAAGCGTTTGTTTGTTATTGAATATGGCTGCCGGCATGGTTAGCACGAAAAAATAATCTATTTTTAAACGCCATGTTCACCTTTTCTAAATATAACATTTTACAAGCCTTTTAGTTACTCAACATTACTTTTAATTCACTTAATGCCACTCATTTACAATTACGTATCCCCACGTGCTATAATCTACGCGTCTATTTCGTCATATTAGAACACAACCAAAAAATAACTGTCACTTTATAATAACCGCTCGAAAACCTTCGCAAAACAAAAATAAACAACCCCTATGACTTCAAACAAACTAAACTTTATTTTTTTACAGACAAAATGTGCGATCAAATCAGTGACGCTATCCTAGATGCCCATTTAATACAAGACCCAGACGCAAAAGTTGCTTGTGGTAAAAAAAATACAAGCTAAAAACATTTTTCAAAACTAACCAAACATTTTACAGAAACTGTAACAAAAACAGGAATGATTCTACTATGTGGAGAAATAACCTCAAAAGCCGTAGTGGATTACCAAAAAGTTGTTCGTGAAACAGTGAAACACATTGGTTACGATGATTCTTCAAAAGGTATGCATTATTTTAAATTACCCTATTTTTTCTACTATTATTGTTAGTAAGCTTGCACACTATTTTTATAGCCTACTCTACTCTAAAAGCATTCGAAAGTTAGTATTGTTATTATTTATAAATCTTACACTACAGGGTGTCCTAACAAAGAAAGTTTTTTTTAACAAATATTGCTAAAATAATTTTTATTTACTCACTTTATTTTATTACTACATTACATTTTAATGTTCATAATAACAATTATTTTTTCAAGTAAATAACCCTATTTTTGTACTCTGTCAGTTTTTTTAAAATTTCAATAATATAATAACCTTTATTGGAAACACCCTGTATTTTATAGTAATCCTAATCTGACAGTAGATAAAGCTTTTTATTAAGCTTGCCACACTACTTTTACAGCTTACTTTCCACCAAGCATTCAAATACTATTCTTTTTTATTTGCCTTACAATTTTTACACACATCGTCTAAACATAACCTTAAATTAGGGTTTGACTGGAGAACACTTAACCTACTTGTGGCACTCGAACAGCAGTCCCCAAATATTGCAAATGGCGTACACGAAAACAGAGGAGACCTCGATGTGGGGGCGGGTGATCAGGTATATTAAACAAAAAAATTAGAATATTTGGGGGCCAAAATCATTTTTTCAAAATTTGCTTTTTTTTCTTCCTTACTCTCTGCATCCCTATTTTTTTATTACTGAGAATGTGCTTTATTGCTTGCTAGAATGCTTTAAGAAGTTTTCAATGCATGTTTTAGATGGTTAAGTTTATTAAAACAGTGATTTTACTATGTTCCCTAATAGTAAAATAATTGTTTATAATTTGGATATTATTTTTACAAAAAATAGGTCAGCGATATTTTTTAAGTCAATATTTGGATAAATCAACATAACACCTAACAAATTTGACCTTATACCCGTAAAAACGTTATAAAATCGCTCAAAATAAAATGCAAATGGCTAAATTGTGTTATTGAAACTAATTTGGTAAATTTTGGCGTTAATTTTAGTTGTAATTTAATACAAACATACCTTAAATATCAGTAATACCTGCAAGAACAAATCTGCACACCAAAAACACTTAATTTTGCACTATTAAGTTAATACTTAGTATTAATAATAAAATTCGCACTTTAAAAGTATAACAAACACACATCAAATTTAAACAATTGACAATCACAAATGCAGGGCAGCCAACTTATAGTTCAATTTTGACATTTGCATTCGATTTCGTTATTTAACGCAGCAAAAACGTGTAACATCATCCGGTATTTGTTGTTATTATTAGGTTTCGATTACAAAACGTGCAATGTTTTATTGGCTTTGGACCAGCAGTCGCCCAACATTGCAGCAGGCGTGCACGAAAATCGTAACGAAGATGAAGTTGGCGCCGGCGATCAGGTGAATTTTCCCCCAAACAATACTTATATCCCTAAACTTTCAAAGCCTTGTCGATGTCAAAAATTTAAATTTGAAAACCCAAAAACTTTTGAGAACATCGATATGGCTTTATTATTTTACTGTCCAACCTGCTATTTTCTTTGTTTATACACGTGGAGAGGTCACAAATTATGCAAAAAATCTTAGTTACCTTTAAAAACACATAACCTAAAAATTAAGACATGTCAATTGAATCATCAAAGCATTCCACGATGTTTTTTAACGAAGGTAACTGCGATGTATTGTACATTTCTTTATTTAAGTCGTGTTTTGTGTTGTATATTTCTGTTAAAGAGGTTTCTTTGAGCGATAAGAGCGAAAATTTTGCATGCTCCGCAATTAAATTGTGTGTTGTTTTAAGTTGAAAGTAATTTTACGCGTGGTTATCTTCGCGACTATCTTTATTGCCTTTTCGACAAGCTAAGTGACGACGTTAGCCTTATCAGCTTTTTCGTTTTGTATTTTTTAAGTTGGTGGTATGGGTAATTTAATATTTTCGAGGGCACGCGTCATAATTTTATTGCTTTTTATTTTATGATTGTGTGTGGATGGACAACAAAAAATCAAATTCATTATAGATTTCTGGCTATAATTCATCTTTATTAATCTCATTAAATTATAGTTTTATGCATGTTACCTACTGACAAACTAATTTTAGTTTTTTATGTTTTTATGGGTTAGATTTTTTTAATAATCACTTTCCTTAGTTTTTTTATCCAAATTTTGTATATCTTTCGATATACCTATTTTTTATATAGGTACATATGTAGGTAGTACCATTGCACCTGAAGCCTTTTGTTTTATCTATTTTTGTTGTCAAAGAGTTTAATTTAAAAAAAATTAAGACATCCACCAAACAAAGCGTTTTTGTTTGTTTTGGATAAAGTTTGTTTTTTTATTTTCAAACGCGGAATAATTTTTTTAAAAGAAACAAAAAAATTAAAATTTCAAAAATTACAATTCTTTCCTAAATTTCATATTTTTAAAATACTTTTTTGTTCGTTTTGGATAAAGTTTGTTTTTTTATTTTCAAACGCGGAATAATTTTTTTAAAAGAAACAAAAAAATTTCAAAAATTGCAATTCTTTCCTAAAATTTCATATTTTTAAAATACTTTTGATAATTTAAAAAAAAACTCTTTCGGTCAAGTTGGGTTCAAAAATGGGCGAATTGGGGTGGAATATGAATTTCTGAGGTGAAAAATAATAATTATAGTTTTTATACATTTTCCAATATTTCTGCCTTTTAAAAAATGTATTATTATTATCATTTCTAAGAAATTTCTAAATTTTTTTAATTGGCTGGAATTTCTATAATTCCAATAAATATTGTATTTACTATTCAAGAAAAATATTATTTACTGATTATAAAACATTATGCAATTTTTAACATTTGTCGACAGAAAATAATCTGATTTATTAAAACAAACTATTCTTTAATTATTCCTTATATTTATCGATATAATTTGTTTCCATTAAAACACAAAAAGCTAGCTAAAACAAACCTTTCACATACCTTACATATAGCACCATCACTGGTTGAAAAAGCGCGGGAAAAAGTTTAAACGCTTATAACTCACAAACTAAATATAATATCAATATACAATCTTGGTATGTTATTAAGGAATATATTTTCAATGTTAATGCCAAATTTTGTTAATATAACTTACAAGAATCCGAATATTTTTCAGTTAGACTATTTCCCCGCGCTTTTTCAGCTATTGAAGGTAGTATACCTATAATAACACTTTCTTTCACTAAATTACATATTAACATGGGAACCACACAAAAAATCTAAACAAAAAACAATAACGTTTTAACCATTATTTTTCCCCAAATTTTCTATAGGGTCTGATGTTTGGTTATGCCACAGATGAAACAGAAGAATGTATGCCATTGACAGTTGTTCTTGCGCACAGACTTAACCACAAAATTGCCGATTTGAGGCGGTCGGGTGAATTCTGGTGGGCCAGACCAGATTCCAAAACACAGGTAGGATATTTCAGATTTTTTAATTTATATATATGAAGGAGAAATTAAAAATTAAGGTTATTTGACAGATGTCAGATTTTATTTAGTATACCAGGGGCGACTATGATGTTTTTGGAATTGCATTTACCTGATTGGTTCAAATTACAGAGAATAATTAAATCGGCCTAGCAACAGGAATAATACGTTTCTTATATGTCAATATTATGTAATAGTAGTAGAAAAAGTTATTTTAATCCAACCACATCCGCAAACAAACCACGTAAAATTGGTTAAAATTTAATAAGGTTCTAAAAAAAATATTCTTAATTAACATGGTATCTTATTGTTTTATACAAAGTCATTTTTTAATTCACAGATAAGTTTCACAACAAATTATCTGCATATAATGCTTATGCCTGCAACAGTTTATTTAGGTCTATGATTTTGTAAAAAAAAATATGAATTAAGTACAAAGTTCACAAAGTTGATAATATTTTACATAAAAGTGATAAATCATTTTTAAATAATGAATTTGATTGTATTATATGGACACTTTTATTAAAATATCCTCTGAAATACTGAAATACACACAACCAAACTTTTTTGGAATCACCCAGTATTCCACTTAAAAAAATTGATTTAAAAATAAAAAGCACTTTATCAGAACCAATTTTATTACAAAAATAAAGAAAAATTTATTAAAACAAATTTTCTATAGAACAAATTACAAAAAAGTGAATTTCTCTGGGAATAAACTTTATAATAAAATAGAATTTACTTAACTTAAATCTTATTGATAGATTTGGTCAAACAAGCCCTTAAATTGAAGGTATTTGAGCCCTCTAAAACTTTCTTTTACATACTTTTGATATCGGATAAGTATTTTGACGCTAACGATTTTAATAACTTTAAAAATTCGTTTTTATGGCAAAAATTGAGGTCGAAAATTTAAATATCGTCCTGGGAAAGGTTTAAATCAAACAGATAACTCCAGTTTGAATTTTTTTTCGTGAAGCTGACATTTTTACAAAAACAAACAAGCTAAGTAATGTTGATAAAAATACATGGAAAAATGGCGAAGTTATGAATTTTTTAGTGGACGACCAAAATTCAGCTTTTTGACGATTTTTATTTTATTTTGTTTCTTTTGTAATATGTTTATTCTTTAATGAAAACCTAAATAAAGTGCATGATTGGAATTTTTTGAGTTATTTCCACAGAAAACATTATTCAAAATTATGGTTATATTTAGTTAATGGAAAGTGTAAAATTAGTAAAAGTAGAGAGTTCGAGTGCGTAAATAACCCGCACAATCTGGGCGACGTAAGTGATGAGCACGGAGAACGTTTTCACCAGCAAATGAAGGCTATGGAGCGGCGATATCACGGCTTCTGGGATGCAGCCATGATGGGTGATTACATTTGGTCCCTTATACGAGAAACGGAATACGAAAGCAACAAAAAACAAAGAAGAAGACAGAATTTTTTTAAACCTATGCTTATTACAACAAAATAAAACTCAATTTCGTCAATGTTCAATATTTATTGTTTAATATTCAATATATAATTTAATATATAATGTTTAAAATAAAAATTAATGTTCAATATTAAATTTTATATAATTCAATAAAATGAAGAAAAAACTTAAAAATTCTCGAAAAACTGAATTTTGGTCTTTCACTGAAAAATTCATAACTTCGCCATTTATCCATGGAAAATAAAAAAAAAATTATTTGTTTAATATAAAATTTGCTTTAATATTTTTTTGTTCGTTTTTTTTGTAATAAAATTGAGGATTAGTTGATAAGGTGTGTATTAAATAAAAAATATTAATTTATAGTGACAAATATAAATTAATGTCAATATGGGTTTTTACTAGAGAATTGGTGCCTATCAATATGCAAAATATGGCAGCCTGTTTCGGACTGTTGGTCCTCCTTGGTGCCGGGTAGCCTTGGCATTACTGCATATTGGTTGACGTTGTTAAATATTGTTAGAACAATTTGTTTTATGCTGTAACAGTATTTTAGTATAATAGTAATAATAATTACAATAATAAAAAGCTGTTTATTTTAAATTGTAGCAGTGTCATCAAAAAACATTTTTTTCCAGGTTACTGCCGAATACACATTTAACCATGGCGCCTGCATTCCACAAAGGATACACACAATCGTCGTGTCGGTTCAACACAGCGAAAAAATCAGTTTAGAAGAATTAAGAACAGAAATTAGAGAAAAAGTTATTAAAGAAGTCATCCCTGCGCAATATTTGGACGAGCAAACCGTCGTACACATCAACCCATGCGGTTTATTCATCATTGGAGGTCCACAGGTAAGAAGATTACTTTAAAAAAAATATTTTTGCGATTGTATTTGCAAATAAACATGTTTATAATTTGTTTTTACTCATTACAAAAACAGATTCATTAAAAAAGTGACCAGATTCTGTCAAAAAATAGAGGGACATATTATATGAATTAACCTTAATTACAAAATAGAGTAATTGCATCAAAAATGAAAATCCCTAAAAACCTTTTTAATGTAATCTAGAGGTAAAAACACATTGCAAAAATATTTTTTTATATTCCAAAAGTTCAACCCGGCCCCAAAATATCAAATTAAAAAAAAGGTACTTTTCAAACGTTCCGAACTCCCGCCAAATTGCATGACGTCATAAGCTCCAACTGTCAGAAATCAAGATGTCAACAAATAATAAACACCGATAAAGTTTATGTTTAACATGGAAAAGGCGAAACCAAAAATTGGTTGTAAATATTGTTTTGTGCCTTGTTGTACAAATACAACCTGGAAAACTCCTGGGAAAGTTGTCCCTTCAATTATCAAAAGCAAAGTTTATGACCCTACACTGAGAGTAGTTACGGCTCAGCCGTATTTTCTTGGGTTTATTAATATTTAACATACCTATTCAAACCATATACCTAGTAAACGACATTTTATTTTACTTACATTAAAATGATCAATAAAATGTTGACTGCGGTGACGATGTTTTGATATCGCGCCGAGCTATTTTAATCCACTTTATCCTTATTTTCCCTTTTGGCACGGTGATAAACCTTTTCCCAGGAGTTTTCCAGGTTGTTTTTATACAAGGCACAAAACAATATTTACAACCAATTTTTGGTTTCGCGTTTTCCATGTTAAACTTTATCGGTGTTTATTATTTGTTGACATCTTGATTTCTGACAGTTGGAGCTTATGACGTCATGCAATTTGGCGGGAGTTCGGAACGTTTGAAAAGTACCTTTTTTTCAATTTGATATTTTGGACCCGGGTTGAACTTTTGGAATATAAAAAAATATTTTCGCAATGTGTTTTTACCTCTAGATTACAATAAAAAGGTTTTTAGGGATTTTCATTTTTGATGCAATTACTCTATTGAAACAATGCAAATTGTAAATTTTACGTTACTTAATTATTGTTGATTGTGTCATTTTTGTAATTAGGGTTAATTTACACAAAATATCCCGCTATTTTTTGACAGAATCTGGTCACTTTAAAACTATGGCATGGTGTTTCACTTTTTAATCCAATAAAAATATTAAGTTAAGTATTAATATATGTCAAAGAAGTTATTCTTTTAATTATGTATATTTAAGGTGTTGTATTAATTATTTAATGTAATTTTTCTGTCTGCAATATTTTTGTGACACATTAATATTTCTTATACAATTAAAAAGTAAAACGGCGTGCAATAAATATTTTATGTGCACACATAAAAAAATGCACTGAATTTTTATTTTGTAATTAAAAGTACTATACAGTGAGACCCATTTGTTTGCGACTCACCCCTGTAAAATCTTTATTTATTGTGCGATTTTAACCGTTTTTGTTTTAAAGTGTAGATCTTGATAAACTGTATTTTTGGAGCAAAAAACGCCATATTTGTACAAAATTCAAGGCCTACTATGTCAGTTTTTAAGAGTAAATTTTTAAGAATTCATATTATCGATTTTTTTAAACAAAATCTAAGCACGGCATTGGATTCACCACCCCTCAAAAATGACCCTATAATTAATTTTATTGAAAAATTTTAAGTAGAAAAATGCAGAATAATATTCTGTCAAGTTATATTATTATTAAGTTATAGTAATAGTACCTACCATGAATTCTTAAAAATTTACTCTTAAAAACTGACATAGTAAGCCTTGTATTTTGTACTAATATGGCGTCCCAAAAATACAGTTTATCAAGATCTACACTTTAAAACAAATCCGATTAAAATCGCACAATAAATAAAGATTTTACAGGGGTGAGTCGCAAACAAATGGGTCACACTGTATATCATATTTTCATCAAAACTTTCTATAAGGCTTTGGGACAAAAGTGACGTTTGGGTTATTTGCTGACTTTACATTTATTGTAATAGTTTAGTTAACATTTTCCGGCTTGATTTTTGTTATTTTTTTAAGTCAGCAAATAACGTCACTTTTGTCCCAAAGCCTGCTACAAAGTTTTAATGAAAATATGAGATGTGAATGCTATGCAGAGTAATTTATAGATGCATTTTTCTGGAAAATGGTGCATCTGATCAATTCAAATCATTTTCGTAAAAAACTGTAAATTTTCATAATTTCAGAAAAAATTTAAAATATTTTAAATTTTAAAAAAGTTGGGGCAAAGTACCGAAAATTCATTTCTTTATGTTCAACCCTCTAGGAATAGTTTTTAAAAAAATTGTCCTTTTAGGCCGTAGCCTCGTTTTGATACATGTTTATTAAACAAAAAAGTGTTATTTTTCTATGAAGAATGCACTGGTAAAGTTTGGCCCCCTAATTTCTGGACCTGTATATTCCATAATTTTAAAAAACCTTCAATTTTCTTTTACACTTAAAACATTTAGATTTAGATTTATTAGTGTTAAAATACATAGTATATACACACATCAGAAAAATATATGAAATACAATGAATAAAAAATATTTATGAAAATACACTAAATATAAATAAATAAATAAAAAACATTACATACTTTGATTAAAATCATCACATAAGATATAATCTTCAAAAGAAAAGAAGGCCTTTTTTAATAAAAAGATTTTAAAATTTTTTTTAAATAAGTTCATTTCCTTGTTCCTTATGTCACATGGTAGAACATTTAAAAATTTAACACCGAAGAAATTTTCTGTGAAACCTAATTTTTTTTTATATTCTTGTTAATTAGGTCATAACTAAACTTTTAAGAGCAAAATAAAAAAAATTTGACGGTTTGAATTGTTTTAATTGGCTGTTTATTAAAAATATTATGCACTCTTTCAATTATCCAATTAAAACTAGCGATTTAATTTAAATATTATCATAACTTTTTAAATCAGACTAAAGATTAGTTAATTTCCTAAAAAAAGGTCTATACATTTTTTATATCTTTTACTGTTTTGTTGTAATACACGTTTAAAGTTTTAATTTAAGGTTAAATGTATAGTATACATTTATTAAACAATAATTCTAAGGGTGCCACATTTTATTTAGGGCCGATTTATTCATTTTTGATTTATTTGACGAATAATTTCTTTGGATACTAGATATTGCCAAGACATGAAAGTTATCGGCCCGATAAACTTTACTAAAGATGAATAAACCGGTCCTTAGTTAAATTTCATGAATTTCTTCGTAACTTTTACTACAATTTTTCATTTTTATTTATAAAAAACACTTTAAAAAAACTAAACAAAAATTATAGAATACGTATACTGAAAATGACAATTCAAAAATCAAATAAATTTTTAATAGATCTAAGTTTCATGGCAACCTTTAAGGATATATTAATTAAGGGAACATAAATGTATACGTCAAAGGTTAGATTAAAAGTTTGAACGTTTATTGCAACAAAACAGTAAAATATATAAAAAAAATTGTAAAAACCTTTTTTTTTAGTTATGCAAATATTAAATATTTAAATTAAATCGCTAGTTTTAATTGGATAATTGAAAGAGTGCATAATATTTTTAATAAACAGCCAATTAAAACAATTCAAACCGTCAATTTTTTTTTATTTTGCTCTTAAAATTTTAGTTATGACCTAATTAACAAGAATATAAAAAAAATTAGGTTTCACAGAAAGTCCAAAAATCACCTCTCAGAACAGCACCGTGTTGATACAACTGTGATAGTATTTATTAAGTACAAATGCTTTATTTTACAATAAATTGTTATATATACACATTTTACATATATTTTAAGATATTTTGTTATACATGCACATGTTACATATGTACCTGTTAAAACCCGAAATGGGTTATTTAGGTTTATTTCCTCAATAAAAAAAAAAAAAAAAGTAAATATAAATACATGGAAACGTCATTACATTTAAAGAAATAAAAAACGGTTTACAGTTTTCACGGTACCCTATTCCAGCTATCAACCTTATCGCTTTTCTTTGCATCCCAAAAATAGACTTAGCTGAAGGTGCATGACCCCAGACCAGTAAGGCGTATGTCATTACTGAGTGAAATTGTGCAAAATACAATTAAAAAGAGAAACGGCGGGCCATACTAAACAAATTTGAACGCTTTCAGAGCGATGCCGGTCTCACCGGTCGCAAAATCATCGTGGACACTTACGGGGGCTGGGGGGCTCACGGGGGCGGCGCCTTCTCCGGCAAGGACTTCACTAAGGTGGACAGGTCGGCCGCGTACGCCGCGCGATGGGTCGCCAAGTCGCTCGTCAAGGCCGGCCTGTGCCGGCGCTGCCTGGTCCAAGTGGCCTACGCCATCGGCGTTGCCGAACCGCTCTCGATCACCGTGTTCGACTACGGAACGTCGAAGTTGTCGCAGAAGGAGCTGCTGGCCGTCGTCAAGACCAACTTCGACCTGAGGCCCGGCAAAATTGTCAAGTGAGTATATTTATTTATGTATTTATTTAACATCCAGATACACGTGTACAGAAATAAATAATTTCCGCCTATTGGAGGTAATAAATTACCTGTACATAGGTCCGGTACATAACTTAAAAATTAGGATCTTAAAACTAAACTAAAAGTAAAATAATATATAATATTTTCATTATCATTGCGACAACAGTTTATAATTCCAACATTTAATACTATTAAGTTAACAATGAATTATTGGTACAGTTTTTGGTAATCCAGTCTTTTAACATTTGTTTAAACTTAAAAGTAAATTTGTTTTTTGGGTTATTTACTACTTTGATGTTATTAGATAACATGTTGAAGATTTTTATACCATTGTAGAGACTAGTTTTTTTTACCAACAGCAAGCTTGACTTTTGGCAGTACAATACTTTTAAACCTAGTTGTTTTATTACTATTTTTGTACATAACGTACAACTTATTAAAATTGAAGTATGGTTTTTAAATAGTAATTTTGATAAATATTAAGGTGGTTGTCACAAAACTGATCATTTCCCAGAATTACCTTTAGTACCCTTTTCTGCAAGTTTAAAAGTGGCAAAAGAGCATTCTCATTCATATTTTTTTTAAGTGAAACTTTGAGGTAATTCCAAACTTGACGTTATTAAAGATGAAATCGGCCATTTCAAGCGCTCGAAACGCACGAATTATACTGTTTTTATAAAATAAACTGTAGAATATTTATTATATAATATTTTGGCATCAAAATTGTCAAAAATATTCTTCTTTTATTAGGTTATACATTAAATAAAAAAAACGCAAGAAATATTTTATTAAAGTAGAGATAATTTTAATAATTGTCCACACCTGTCAAATATTGAAATTATCTTTACTTATACAAAATATTTCTGGCGATTTTTTATTTAATGTATAGTAGGGTGTGCCAAAAAAACTCGATATTTTTTTTTCTTGCTCTCCACCCAAAATATCGTAGAATATGTCCGAACAAATATTCTGTTAAAAGCGGAGCTCATAATTTCAATTTTAAGAGGTCCTTCATCGAATCTGAAGTTTTGCCGTTTAAATAACACATAAAACTGACTTTTTTACCTTATTTATTCTTGCAACCTAGGAAGAAATCTTTTGTTCATAAAATCCATGACCAAATCTTACAAAGCATTAAATTTGGACGAAAAAATCTTATTAAGCCGAATTTCTATTTTCATTATTTGATTTTTTACAGACCTTTAATAATACAAAAATGATGACTTTATACGCCTGTAACTTTTAGAATATTGACGATGCAAAAAATTCGCCTAAAACTTTTTTGTGGTCCATCAGACAAGCTAAAAAATTGCCATTTGACTTTTTCGTCTAACTTCAATACTTTAGCTGAAAAAGGCAAAAAACGTAAAATTTTAAATTTAAAGCTCTGTAAAAAATCAAATAATGAAAATAGAAATTCGGCTTAATAAGATTTTTTCGTCCAAATTTAATGTTTTGTAAGATTTGGTCATGGATTTTATGAACAAAAGATTTTTTCCTAGGTTGCAAGAATAAATAAGGTAAAAAAGTCAGTTTTCTGTGGTATTTAAGCGGCAAAACATCAGATTCGATGAAGGACCTCTTAAAATTGAAATTATGAGCTCCGCTTTTAACAGGATATTTGTTCGGGCATATTCTACGATATTTTGGGTGGAAAGCAAGAAAAAAAAATATCGAGTTTTTTGGCACACCCTAATAGCCTAATAAAAGAAGAAAATATTTTACAATTTTGATGCAAAAATAATATATAATAAATTCCCTACAAATTTTTTTATAAAAAAAGGATTGTGATTTGTCCCGTCCGTCCGCTTGAAATGGCCGAAATGCCTGCGTCGTATTAGAACATTCAAACAAAATTTGCACAGTAGTAGTATTGACTAACAACATCTTACTCAATGGTAGTAGTGTGTGTTTTGCGTGAAAAAATATTAGGAATGAGGCCGATTGATAAAACAGCGCGCTACCTTACCCTTTTTATCTGTTTTTACCCTTATAGTTTTAACCTTTTCCCTTTGACATAAGCTAGAAATGTGCTTCCATTTGTTGGTTCTCTTCTTTACTCAGTGGCTTAAAAGCTTACAAAAGCTCAAAAGCTTAGAAAAAACTTAAAAGTTCAATATTTTAAAAGCTTGATTCCGGACATGTTTTAATTAATTTGTCCAATAGAAATTTCACTTCAGCTTTAGACAACGCAGACCAATTGTACTCTTTTATTAAATTAAAATAAAAACCTTAAAGTAGCAGATTATTGGAAATATATATTTTTTTTTAACCTGCTTTACAAAATATTGCAAAATTACGTCTAAAATGTCTGAATACAAAATGTAATAGGAGTAGGTATAATATGAACCCCAAAAATGAAGTTGTGTCTGCATTAGGGTGCTTCATTTTAGAGCGAGATTTTTTTTCAATTTGTAGAGAGCATATCAACTTTTAGACTTGCTTAAATGGACATTTTTGAAGATAATGTCATCCTGTATAAAGATTTAGAACCGAAATTTGAAAAAAATATAGCGGAAGGTTTTTAAAGGGAAATATTTAAAAATTGAATAGCAACGGCTTAAAATAAAGATTAATTAATCTCTAAGAGCTTTGTAATAGCAGTTTTCTGACCGGTTACAAGATTTTCAGGTGGGAAAAACAATGTCGCTCTAAAATAAAGCACCCTAGTCTGAATATTTGGCTTAAATCTTAAAAACTCCAAAAATTCTTTTCAATCTCATATAAATTAAATATTAAAAGGCCAACCTGACTGCCTTCAATTAAGGTAGTTGTGCTAAACAATTTATTTTTTAAAAATTAATTTAAAAAATATATATTTTTAGGTTCTATTTTATTAAATTCTTTTCAAAATGATATATCACAACCTACCTTTTCTTAAAAAACATCAAAATATACCTAAAAACAAAATCCATGTAGTAGCTCCTAGACTTCTACAAAATTGTCATTTTTAGCCATATTTCGTTCGTTTTCGACAAAAATATACCGTATTTATATCAAACAAATGATTTTTAATTTTTCTTTTAAATGACTTAAATAACTTCATATTTTTTCTATTATGAGATTTTTGACTATAAGATCCACAGAATAGAAGTTTTAAGTTAATTTTTGAAAAAGCTCTGTAATTGGAAAAAATGTCCTGTAGAGTCTTTCTTTAAATAAATAATTAAATAAATTACAATTATTGTTAGATATTAACATTTTTTTTCTCAAAATATAAATATAACATCATTTGACTTTGGCCTAGTTTTTTTAGTCGAATCTATCGACGCATTTTTTTTTAAATAAAATTAAAAGTATGGTGTAATTTCTCCTTGTGTATTTATCAGATATATACAAAAGTAGTTATTTTACCTCACTTTTAATTTTATTCAAAATACTCGTCGAGCGATTTGACTAAAAAACTAGTCAAGGTAATTTATCTGTAGAAAAGAAGTGATATTTGTTTAAGTTTTTTGTTTAAAAAAAGAATTATTTATTTTTTTCTTATTTTTGAAGTACAGTGTAAAGTTGTTTAATTACCGAAATTCATTTGCATACTTAATTTTTCCTAAAATTCTCCAAAAAACTCCTATATTCCTTAATAAAATAGGTAAAAAACGCATAACACAACCAGTACTACATCCAATCTCTTGATGAATATAAATTTTGAAATGTCAAATATAAGTTTTTAAACAATTAAATAACTTTTTTAGCATTTTATGAAATATATGTAGGTGACTTTCAGGCATTTCCAGCATAGAAATACAAATGTATTTTTGGATAATATGCAGTTTGTCATTTTAAAAAGGAATGCAGGAATTTTTGTTTATTAAATAATAAAAAAATATTTGAAGATTTGTCTTATTAGTAAATTTTGTCCAATGTTGAATGTGTCTTTAACTGAAGTCACATTTTTGTTAAGAATATCTGTTATCTTTTGCATTGTTTATTATAATTTTGTCAAAGTATTTAAAATAAAGGCCTTGTAAGGAGTACCAATTTTAAATATTAAAAATACCAAACTATATTGACATTTAGTTGTTAACTTAATCAAATTCCGAATAAAAAGAAAAAACGGCATCATTGCCATTTTTTGCCCATGATGTTTTTTTAAGTATTTGCTACTCTTGAAGTACCATGATGTCATCTTACAGCTGAGGGCTATAACTTACAAAAACCTCATCATAATGGTAATAAAAAACAACAAAAATGCACAAAACAAATATTTCTTGCAGAGAATTGAACCTGAGACAGCCCATCTACCAGAAAACCAGCACGTACGGCCACTTCGGCAGAGACGGATTTTCCTGGGAGAAACCAAAGGTCCTTACCATCCCCAACCACAAAAACTGACAACTTAGCCCACACGCAACCACCGACACATCATCACCCTGAAAAATTTACCCCTCATCTTTTTTTATCTGTTGTAGCTCTCCCTGTTTCTTGTAGATAGCAAAAACAAACAAACGCGTATGTAATACCGAACCCTGTGGCACTCTGAACCTTGCGTCAGCACCCGATTCGCTCCCTCAGACGTTTTATTTTAGAATTTTGACGTTTTCTCCTTTGGATAGTCTTCTTGATAGGCTGTCAGAAAGTGACGTTTGAGGTTAGAACTTTGACGTTTGTCGCCAAGAAACGTCAGAAATCTAATTTGTAACCGTTTGCGGGCGTAATCGCGGTGCTATACTGTGGATGGTAGTCGATGGCCGGCCGGCGCGGACCACAGTGGCTTTTGGCTGTTTTTATTTCGATTTTTTGCGGCTGGAGGCCGCTGCAAAGCAGTGTAGTGAGTTTTGATTTCTTGCTCGTGCACCCTGTGTTGTGTTTTTGGAAAAGAATCTGGTTGGAAAAGAGCATTTACGAAAACACTCCGGTCTGTGTTGGCTTCTAAGGCCCCAACCCAACCCCTATTTTTTGTTTTTTTGTTTCTCGTACATGACTGGAGCATTTATCGAGCTGCCATTTAATGTGAAAATCCATCAATTTTTTATCTAGTGTAATTTTTATTGTTTTTCCGATGAAGAATTTATAATAGAGTATAGAATTGTAGATCTAGGAAATTGTATAGATTTTAATTATTAATTTATTTCGAAGAATCATGATATTGTATGCAATTATTGACAAAAAAAAACAATGTAATATTTAATGTGTAGGTATAATTCCTAAAACACTGTTTTTTATTATGACTTTAATTTTTAATTAATTCCAATCATGTACGTTATACTTTACGACACCTTTTTGTCATAAATTAAACAATAAAAAGTAGTTGTTAAGAAAGCAATCTTTTATTTTATCCCAAAGTCTTATTTACCAATTTTTTAGAGGAAATTGATATGTACATTTTATTTAAATTTATACAGGGTGTCCCAAAAATGACGCACCAATGCGATTATGATATCACCAAAATATTGAGTAGTTATTTTGTTTTTTTAAGGTAAAGTAGATAGAGTTTAATAAATAAATAACAGTAGGCCGTGACAGCAAATTCAGTGGTGCCAATGTAGTAAAAATAAAACGTTTTATTTTAATACTTTTTATGACAAAATTAAGCTTTAAAACTGTCATGTTTTTGTTAAGTTGGCACCACAAAATTTAAAATAAAAATTTTAATAAGTCCTGAAAAAGTTGTTTATTTTGCGTTCATAATGACTTCGGTGCAAAATTTTGATTTTATAGGTTGGCTATACTTTAAACAGCATAATATTTAGCATATTGGTTATAATATTTTCATGATTTTTCTAGTACTTACGAGACTTTTCTGGCAATAAATTTTGTTGAACACCAAAGATAATCCCTTTTTTCTTCTTTAACATTAACAGCCGCTTATTGTTAATAAGTAAAGTGACCAGATTCTGTCAAAAAATAAGTCAATTAAGGACGGCATGGCGAATTGATTTTGACATTAACTGTCAAACCAATGACTGATACCAACTATCTAAAGTAAAATTCGACCAAATTAAATTTAAGGTTTAAAATTATTTTTTTTTTATAGAATGTTTGCAAAATAGAAGAATCTCATAAGACTTTTTGTCGCAGTCGTCCATTACAAAACTAGTAGTTCTTTTATATACTATTATTGTGATTTCCATAAAAAATATACTTACTGTAATTATCAATATCTAAGCCATCTTTGGTTGCCAAAGTTTTAAAACGTATTTTTAACACAATCTATGGAAAATAACACCTGTGCAGAGATATTTTAAAAATTTATGTCAAACTTGAGATAATAATTATTTAAATACCTAACAAGTTTGATTTTTTAACGCAAACTGTTCAAAAATACTGACAATCATGTTTACTTGAGCTAGCAGCAGATGCCTTGTTAATTTTGTTTCCACAGCAATCGTTTTTAGAATTTTAATATTTCAGAGAAAAAAAAGGGTTCTTTATTTTTGCAAAAAAATTACTTTTGTAAACCATGCAAGCAGCATTTTTATTCTTGAGTATATACATAGATATAGGTATTCCATTATCTATGCATATTCCAGGGTGTCCCAAATTGGCGGCCCAAATACCATTTTATTAATTCGAAAAGAGCGCAGTAGTAGTATCTATTTGTAATCTGAGTTGCCTACCTAAATTCGAACAAGCAGGGCTGTTCCGATGACAGTAAATGACATAATCCTAGTGGTCTAGGGACATAATCGTAAAAATAAAGTGCCTTTCTTGTAAAATAATACTAAATGTGAAATTATTTTATCATCTCATTAGAAAAATAAAAAGTATTAAATAGTTTCTTGACGCCAATATTTAAAAAGATTTTAAATATAGACATGGAAGCAGTTTTTTACGTAAAAAAAAGATATTTTTTAACGCTTTATTATAATAAAGCGTTAAAAAATATCTTTTTTTTACGTAAAAAACTGCTTCTATATCGATTATACCCTGGCGAAAATAAAGCGTGCATGAAAAGTGTGCAGTGTGTATTTGGAGTGCAAGTCTTTATAACAATGTGCATACACGCTACTTTGTGATAATTTCACACTTTTTGAAATAATTAAGTTTTTTCACTCTTTATATACATTGTCATCACGCTTTTTATTTGTCATATGTCACGCTTATATTACATTATATTTTAGCACATTGTTTGCACAGTGTTAGTACATTCCCGGACAACAATCGGGATTTCCTGGTGAAATCATGATGATATCACAACGTGATTTTTTTTATCACGCTGTGATATCCTGAGTGCATACACATGCTTCATCACAGTGATATCATGTAGAACTCACGGTGTGATATTTGCAAAATTTGCGCATGCGTATGAGCCCTGCGAACTGCGAATTTAAAACCTAGTTTGTTATTCACATTACACCGTTATAATTTATAAAACGTTGTTTGAATATCACGAATGTTTCCGGGTGCAATTAAAAAAGATATTCCAATGTTTAACAAAACGTGAACGTTTTTTAAACATTGGAATATATCTTTTTTAATTGAACCCGGACAACATTCTTGATATTCATACGAACATCATCGTGATTTTCACAAATTTTATTCATACTAATATCAAACGGAAGTCACCGCGTGATAAATGAAAATCATACGAACGTCACGGCGTGATTTTCACAAATTTTATTCATACGGACATCATCCGGATGTCACTGCGTGAGAAAGGAAAATCATGTCGTGATTTTTTATGCCATCACTGTTTGCGATTGACCGATGGCCTAAAAAATCACGACATGATTTTTTATGCTATCGGTGTTTGGGCATAAAAAATCACGACATGATTTTTTTTGCCATCGGTGCACCGACATGTTTGGATATTTATTTTTGCGCCACATTCGTACATTGAAAGAAAAAGTATGTTAACAATTGAATTACCAGTTTTTTCGGTCAAATACATTTAATATTTTCTTGGATGTAAATTAACTAATAATTTTAATCCAAAAAAATTTTGAATGTATTAACCACAAAAACTGTTGATTCAATATATATATATATATATGTAGGTATACTTTTTCTCTCAATGTACGAATGTGGCGTAAAAATAAATATCCAAACACCAATGGCATAAAAAATCACGACATGATTTTTTATGCCATCGGTGTTTGGTCATAAAAAATCACGACATGATTTTTTATGCCATCGGTGTTTGGATATTCTTTTTGCGACACATTCGTACATTGAAAGAAAAAGTATATTAACAATTGAATCAACAGTTTAACATTTATAATATTTTCTTGGATTTAATTAAATATAGTTAATTTAAATCCAAGAAAATATTGAATGTATTTAACCGCAAAAACTGTTGATTCAACATAATTTTTCTCTTAGTGTACGAACGTAGCGCAAAATTGATTATCCAAACACCGTTGGCATAAAAAATCACGACATGATTTTTTGTGCCATCGGTCAATCGCAAACAGCGATGGCATAAAAAATCACGACATGATTTTCATTTCTCACGCATGCGTGACATCCAGATGATGTCCGTATGAATAAAATTTGTGAAAATCACGACGTGACGTACGTATGATTTTCATTTATCACGCGGTGACTTCCGTATGATATCAGTATGAATAATATTTGTGAAAATCACGACATGATGTTCGTATGAATATCACGAATGTTGTCCGGGTTGTTTAAAGACATTTTGCAAAGCTTCAGTCTATCTTACGCATGTCACATTATAAAATATTATATTATATTATTATAAACACACTGTTAGCACGCTTTAATATTTGTCATTTATGACGCTTATATTACACCTTTTTATAGCACATTGTTTGTACAGTTTTAGCGATCACTCAACAGTTTAAGCAAATTTTAGATATATCTCGCTTGAGTTGGGGTACAACATTTATTTAAAAGGTGAGGTAGATTCCATCTTATGTATCGCTTCTCGGCCTATTGCTAAGATCAAAGCAAATCCCTTCGTGGAGTTGACAGTGCAGGTATTTTTCTTAATAAAATACAGTAGGTATGTAGGACCTACATCGTGGATATTTTTTTAAAATTTTTTTTGAAAAAAATATTTATTTGTTTAATTAATATTATTATAAGGATATTTATATTTCAATTATGTGTAAATTTAAAAGACTTTATAGGTCACCAAAAAGAATCTGTTTTTGTAATAGGCACACAGGTGGCAAGAAACAGAGTGCAAACAATGTGAAAAATCAAAAGGAGTTCCCTTTAAAACATTGTCCAGTGATTATTCACACTTTTAAATTTTTAGATTTGCACATTGTTTCATGTTCCATTTCCCACCCTCCGCACATCATTTTTTTTAAAAGATTGCACATTGTTGGCACATTGTTCTCAAATAATTTTGCACACTTTTTGCACATTTCATTTTCGCCAGGGTAAGTCTATTTTCAAAAGATAAAAATTTTGATTTACACAGAAAAATTTGACAATTTAAGAATAAAGTATTTTATTAACAATCATATTTTGAAGTTATTTTAATACTTTAAATTATCAATTTAGTTTAATTGAAATAAGGCAATGTTAATGGTGAAAATTACGTCAAAAATGTTTATTGGGGTGGTTACTTTATTTTCGTATAGATATCGCATCATACAGTATTAAATTTAAATCGTTTTATTTTAATTATTTGTCGTAGAAAAAGTATAGTAGGTATTCATCTCGTTTATAAACTTTTCTAGGCACTCATTTAAATCTAAATTAAATTTAAAAATGGCGTTTATCAAACTTGATACATAATATACTATTAGATTCTTTTTCGTTAAAAATCTTACAATTATAAGTGTAAGATATAAGAGATATAAATATATTACCTAGGTATATTATATTTTTTTTTTCACAGGATGGATGTACCAAAAAGTAGGAATAGTGCAATAAATGTTGCCAGGTTGTGCAAACAAACTTTTTTTAATGAACAAAAATAGTATTTATTAACATCTTATATAAATAAACCCACAATTTAGTTTAGGCTGAATATTTTCCATAAGCGTCCGTCAGAAACTTGGATGTCAATATAAGATTTGACGGGTGCTTGGAAAACCTCGTATTTGGCTGCACATCCCCAGGTTTGTTTGTGTTTTATGTTAAAAACTTGGATAAAGTAAGCAGCTCTTTCTGTAGTATTGTCTGACAACAAGTAGGCTTCTTTTAGGGCCTCTACAGCGTCGGTAACATAAGACACATCAGGTACGTTAACAGATTTTGGGTGGTACTAAAAAAGTATTATTAGAAACAAAGAGTTTATAATCTAATTTAAGTAAGTATATTTTAGATTAGATTAGATTTACCAAAAAATATCACCAAAATTATAACGAACTATAAAAATCCTCTTCAAACTAAAAATTAGTCAAGAAACAAATTTAAATTGGATTGACACACTCTGTGGATTGACATTTCAGATGTCAAAAACAATAAAAAATGTATTTATGACAGACATAAATTTTAAGTTAAGTTAAATACTTGTGACATAAAATCCTGTAAAAGGGTCAGAATTTTTTTTATAATGCTTTAATAAATAGATTGACACAATTTTCAGAACAAATATTTATATAATATATTCTATAAATTTTTTAACTAAAGTTAAATGTTAAATAAAGGTGTTATTATTTAAAAATAAAAATATGCTTACACTGAGTGTATCTGGGTCTGGTGCTGCAGTAGTACTAGAGTCGCCCCCTGCCATATATGGAGTTGCTATAGCAACACCAATACTTAAAAGCAAAACTGCGAATTTGTACATTTTAATTTTTTTCAGTCTGAAAAAAATAAATTTATTATTTGCAATTACATACATATGTAATATATATATATATATATGTAACACTTACCACTTTAATCACTTATTTGACTTAAAGTATTATTTTTCTCAAAATAATTAGCTTTTATAGGAGTATTTTATCAAATTTAAATAGTTATCAATTTAAAATCAAATTATTAAGTACCACAGATAAAATTTTAATAAACATATAATATAAACACTTAAAAACATTTATTATAAAATTTATGGGAAATACATTAATGTTAATTAATAAATCGTAATATATCTATTTACATAAGGGCCCAGTCACAGTTTAGGCCTAAAAATATTTTTTATATTATTTTTAGTCCAATGTGTTTATTCTAATAAAATAAAGTCAGTCACTATCTTATTAAATTCTTCAGCATATCTCAGATGAATATTATGTTTTCCTTCAGGAAATCTATGCAATCTAAAAAAAATACATCAAAATTGTTAGTATACTATAGGTGGGTAGTAGTTTTTAAAAATTATAGGCAAACACCTGTTATTTAAATAACTTAATAAGGTGTTAACACCATTTGAAGAGTTTGCTAAATAATAATAATCCACATGTGTGGATTGTGATAATAATAATGATAATAATAATAATCACAATCCACAATAATAATCACAATCCACATATGTGGATTGTGATAATAATAATAAAAGTAGACCGTCACAGCAAATTCGGTGGTGCCAATGTAGTAAAAATAAAACGTTGAATTTGCAACTTTATTGGAAATTTAAGTATCATTAAAAACTAAAAACAACATAAAAAGGAAATAGGTAACAATATGAATAATTCATTCATGAGATTTCCATAAAAAATAAACTAAATAATCAATTTTTAAGATATCAACGAATTTTTTAAATAATCCATGGGAAATACCTGTGGTAAATAACACTTCTGTACAACTGATATTTTCCATAGATTCTGTTAAAAAATCGTTTTTAAACTTGAGCAAGCAAAGATGGCTTAGAAATTGATTATTACAGTATATTTTTTATGGAAATATCAGAAAACAATTTTTTAGCACTTTTAAAATTGTCATTTCAAATTTCGTGCTGCCAACTTAATTAAGAAACACAAATATAGGAGTTTTACACCTTAATTTTGCCATTATAAAAACAAATTAACAATAATTGTTAATTTGTTTTTATAATGGCAAAATTAAGGTGTAAAACTCCTATTTTTGTGTTTCTTAATTAAGTTGGCAGCACGAAATTTGAAATGACAATTTTAAAAGTGCTAAAAAATTGTTTTCTGATATTTCCATAAAAAATATACTGTAATAATCAATTTCTAAGCCATCTTTGCTTGCTCAAGTTTAAAAACGATTTTTTAACAGAATCTATGGAAAATATCAGTTGTACAGAAGTGTTATTTACCACAGGTATTTCCCATGGATTATTTAAAAAATTCGTTGATATCTTAAAAATTGATTATTTAGTTTATTTTTTATGGAAATCTCATGAGCAAGCTTGTGAAATACAAGATAAAACAATAGCGTATAAAAACAAAATTTAATGTAAATTTAAGAATTAATAAATATTTACTTGAAATATGTGGTGTAAAAAAACTGAAATTACTTGTGAAATGTGAATGTGACGACATGCCTCACAAAATCATATATTAACTTTTAAAGACATTCCATGGAAACTCTTCAAATGGAGATACTACCTTAAAATTGAGTAACATTTTTACTTTGTTAGAAAATGTTTCAGAAATATATTGTAAAGAACCATTTCAGGGGTATAATAATAATAAAAATAATTTGATTATTCGAAGGGAACCCTTGAAAAAAATAATATACTAACTTGGACATTTTAATATTCTGAAACAAATATTCAGGGTGTTCAGGGTGCACCATGGGGTCTTTATCCCCATGCAAAATTAACGTGGGGCATTTAATTTTTCCTAAATCCTCCTTGCAAATATTTCCCCCGTTTACAAATATATTATGAACGGCGCCACACCAACCGCCCCACAAATCCTCAAGGCCTTCCTGAGTGTACAATTTTATCAATGGATTTTTCATCTTATCTGACCATTTAGTCAAATCTCGCATTTCTAAGAAAATAGTTATGTGACAGTATTATCTATAAACTTGAGATTTAAGTACTTAAGTAATTACTTTCGTAAATTTTAATCTTCTCTGGCAAAATGTATGAATTCGATCCCCAAACAATTAATTTATCCACAATATCTGGATATTTTGCTGACAGCTGTCAGAAGTCTAGAATCATGCTTGATATACCTCCATCACTCCAGCCTAATGAACTGGCCTTATTAACGTTTATAGCTATAAACGTTAATAAGGCCAGTTCATTAGGCTGGAGTGATGTAGGTATATCAAGCATGATTCTGTCAGCAAAAGGCTAGCCTACAAAATAAAAAATATTAAACATTAATATATTTTCTGTACACGTGTATCTGGATGTTAAATAAATAAATAAATAAATAAGGCCCAAATCAACCCAACCTTTAAAAACTCATAAGCCATATCGGCATCATCCCTATAAAAACTACTTGTAAAATTCCTATTGGGAGGGCGGCTATAGCTCCATATCCATATCCAGGGGGATCCCAGGCAATTACAGTAAATTTTTTCTTATCTAACCCTTCAATTTGCGGCTGAAAATCGCTCCAAATCATTCCTAAAGCCCCAGGAAAACATAGCAGAGTTTTATCACCCGAACCACTTTTAATATAATTTATGGTTTTCCCATGAATTTTTACTTGTTTCTCCTGCATCGTTGAATAGCTTTTCGTTACAATTGTTTTTTGGTGGATCCTCCAAATATTTATAAACAACATTTTTTTCTCTCTCTATTTTTATCCACTATGTACGGAGTAGGGACCATAAGCCTCTCCCTCAGTAATGGAGTTTTCCAAGCAGCATTTTTGGTTCCAAAAACCATTGCCAAAGTGGTGATAACTTTAAATTAGTTAAGTATACTAAACAGCTACTTTAATTTTTACTTAAAAGTAACTCTAACTTTTAAATAGCAATATTTTGTAACAGAAACTTAATTTTTCCTTAAATGGTTACTATAAAGTAATAAACATTTAAGTAAAACTTGGTTGCCCCCAAGAAGACTTTGCAACTTTAAAAAAGGTGTTATAAGTAAAAAAAACTTTCAAGTAAATTTAATTTGTAGCAGTTACTTTCGGTTGCTACCTAAAGATTACATTATAATTATTTTTACTTTGTAGTCCCTTTGCAAGTTAAAATCTCGAAACTGGAACATGAGTTAAAAACTACAAAGTTAATAACTTAAAAGTTATTATTTTAGTATTTGGAACGTTTATGGTACTAACCAAAACAACCGTAAAGTGGAAAAAAACTTTAAAGTAGCGAAAACTACTTCAAAGGAAAATGCTTCTTATCGGCCATTTTTTACTGTACACTACCACGTGGTAATGTAAATAATAAATTATTTTAATTGTTTGTAAATGGTTGTTTACTTTTTAATAAATAGTAATTTTGTTGGTAATAGACGGTATTAATAATTAAATAAAAAAAATAATAATAAATATTAAGATTTTTTTATTTATAAACATTACTAAATAAATAATTTGTTTATACTTAAATATTGATGAAGCTAAATTCATAAGTTCAACAGTAAAATTTAAAGGGTTTATAAATTTACCTGTCTAATTAAACATTATATTTTTATTCTGGAAGTTATAAACTACCAGTGCATATTTAATAAACGACGACATTGAAAAGCCAAGTCCGTAGTGGTTCCATTTAAAAAAGGAGGGATAGTATAATCTAATATAAGTTTGACAAAGACAGTTAATATAGAAGTAAAAACAAATAATAAAAGTAATTATAACGCTCTAGCAACGATATTGGAACGTTCTAGTAACGTAGCAGCTACGTTCCAAATAGTAGCAGGGTTTATAGCTAGTGACATATTTGCTACCTTTTTGGAACTCAATAATTGTTCCCCACTTTAGTCGTAACTTAGTAATGAAAGAGTAATATAAAGAGACCGGCGACTGTCGCAAAACACTTTAAAGTTTCTTCAATAGTCCCATATACGTAACAAATACTTAAATTGTTGCTTGGGTTGTCTGAGCCGTTGTGGCTCTTTTAACCAGTCACCAGTAGATTTATTTGGATTCTTCCTGTGTATCTTTTAGTCAGTTCGATTTTGTCTTTCGTGTGTGGTGCATCGCACTTTCATCTCTGGGACATTGCTCGATGAAAAGTTTGAAACATAGCTGACTTTGACCCAGGAGGGACAAAATGGAATTCCGGGTATAGAAATATACCTGTATTTTTGGACAATATCGCGAGCTTTGACCTTCTAGCGAGGTATTTCGTGATTTGTACAACACATTGAGTGGATGGTCCAAGATTTGGAAAATTCACGTGTCTATGGGTGGATGGCTTCGGGAAGCGCATGGACATTAAAACTTGTTGCTGGTCAAAGTGGTTCATTGAAACCGAGACCATTAGGCCTTAGGCCACCAAGGAAGAAAAAGATCTTTTAGTCAAAATTTTCTGGGTTCCGCTGCTGATGTATGTGTGTACCAGATCTTATGTTTATCTTAGTGGTAATATAACATAACATAATTTTATTTTACTAGCTCTCTAATATATATATATATTATATATATATATATATATATATATATATATATATATATATATATATATATATATTTGTCCAACCGACGTTATCAGACCTCATACATAGAATAGACAACCTTAGACCACCTAGAAGGAAACAAAAACGAGAAGTATAAAACCAAAAAATATAGTTTAATTATGTATAACTTCTCAAGCAAATCCAGAGGGGTAGAAAATAATTAAAACTAACATTTTTAACATATTTAATAAACTTTATCGATCCAAATACATTACACCTATTTTTTAGACCATCCGATATACAAAATTACATAGTCTATCAACGTTACTGGACCATGCGCGGTTGCCAAACGTTCGCGAAGTCGGGTTCTTCATTTGGCGCGAAAACGTCGAAAAAGTGAAGTTAGTTTAAAACATTGTTAAATGTGTTTCTGTAGAAATTGAGTTGTGTGTACAAAAAAGTTTAAAATGAATAGGGGTAAACTATTAGTGAATTTGGCAACAAAATCAAACAATGAAGGTAAGGAACGTAAGGTTTTTATTATATTATCAAACTAATTATACATTGATGGTTTATTTATTTTATCCATTTATTACTTATTCCTGGTGTATTAAATGAATGGCTCGCCCTTATAACTTTTTCTTTTTTTAACAAAAAAATATAATTCAAGGTATGCACTGCAGAGATCGGCAAAAAAATAGTTTCGACCTATCCAGCTACTGTTTAACGTGAATCCGGACCACGATCCTCGTTTCCTTGTTTAACAACACCCAAGGCTGATACCGTCGGACGCAGTTTGTCTCGGCTTTGTAGCTTAACCCACTGCGCTACCCGCGACCCCTCAATATTTATTTTTTATTATTTAAATTATAATGAAAAAATAAATAATTTGAATAATTTAAAAACTAATAAATTAAATTAAATTATTAATGCTAGGGGAAAGCAGGATACAACGGGGTAAAATTTGTCTAAATATTTCTATATTTAATAATTACCAGAGAAAATTTTACTAAATATTTGAATATTCAATAATTAATAATGAAAATTTTACTAATTACCTGAATATTTAATAATTAACAATAGAATACTTTTTAAATATGTAGATATTTAAATACTCATTAGTTATCGAAAGGTAAAATATTACCAATTTATTAAATATTAAGTAATTGGCTGCCAATATATTACTAATCACTTGGATTACTAAGCGAATTTTTTTAGTAAAGTTAGATGTGACGTTTAAGTCGCGCGTGTACACCGCGCTGGTATGTCGCGCAGGAATTAGACAGGATCGGGACAGAAATGGAACGGGTTTGGGACAGTACCGTAAACTGGGGTTACTTTGACATAGTTTAGATAGTTTTTTTATCATAACATTTTTCTTAGCTAACATGAACAAATTAGTGTTTGTTTGAACCAATGGATGCCTTGGCAAGATTAATTTTAAGCGACAACTTTCTAGCAGCACTCCTTGACATAAACAAAATAATTTTTTTTAGGTGTCAAAATAGCTCCATGCTCTTGGCTACTTTGACATGGCACTGTTTTGTATTGGATGTACTATTCAGGGGCTAGTTTGACACCAAAAAAATAATATTTTTTTTTATTTTACTATATTTTAAGGGGTTAAATATTGAAAAATACAGGTTTTTATCAAGCTAAGGTTTATTTCAGAAATGTTATAATAATATAGGAAAAGTCGTAAGTAACAAAAAACAAACATGGTAATGGTAACAAAAACAAAAATTATATTTCTTAAAATATTTTTTTTACATCTTCATTCATAGTTTTTATATGCACGGGCTCCCAATCTCTTTTTGTAGGTTCTAACCATTTTTACACAATATTTTTATATATTTAGGACACAATAACACCTCAATCTACTGCCGGCTGTTAATGCTAATAATGACATTAAACCAACCACAAAGTTTTTCGAATTTCCGCTTGTACGAGGGACGTTGTCAAAGTAGCCCCAGTTTACGGTAACCTATATATTCTTCCGATTGGGTCATTATTAAAACCCTTGTATATAATACTCACCGTACCAATTAAAGTTGCAAAGTGTTTTATAATTTTTTGTTTGCTTTTTTTGTTCTTAATATGAGTTAAGTTTGTTTAATTTTTTATGTTTTCTTTACTGTTCAGTTTATTAAAAATAATAAATATTGTTATGGTTTATTTTAAATATTTGTTTTATTTTACATACTGTTTTGCTAAAACATCCTTTATAAATTGATATTCAAGATCCACTGGTTTAGGAAGAAAAGAACAGTATTTCTTTAAAAAAACTGCTAAGGCTAACAAATAAAATATAAAAAGTCGAAGGGCTGCAAAACAGGCAAGAATGGAATAATTAATTATGAATAATATACTAAAAGTATTTTTGCACAACGAATAAAACTGCTAAGACAAGAGGTCGTATCTGAAATATTTTGTA